TTGTAGTTTAGTTTATGTACAATATAAAAAAAAACAGTTGACTTTAATAAACTGGATTTAATTGTAAATTATTATAAATTTTGACAGTTTTAATGCTACATAAAAATTATTTTTTCTTTTTATATTTTAGGGTAATGAAAAATTACGTATGTCTAGCTAGTCAGAATATGAGATATTATATGATCAAAATGTGAGATAAAATAAGAAAATGCTTTTGAATAAAACTCGGAATTTTACATAGAGTTATTGTTTCACATAAAGGTGTAGACGAAAAGTATAAAGCCTACAAAAACACTAACCGACTTGACAAATGTCAAAAGAAAAAATTATAAACCTAAAAGATTAGTTAATCTTTAAGTAAGGTAATGATTGAGATAAAAAGTCAGTCTCACTAGTGGGATTCGAACCCACTCAGACACTAACCTCCCTTCTCAACCCCTCCTGTTATTTTAATTTTCCCTCCTTTTTGTCATTTTTCAAATGTCGTGTAATCTATTTGACTCTCGGCAACAAATGAAATGGTGAGCATTAGTAAGTATACTTTATTTTGCTTATTAAATCGATTAGGTTTCGTGGTCCGATTGACCAAATAAATTCTTTTGAATTAATCTTTAAGTAAGGCAATGATTGAGATAAAAAAATTCAAAAGGTGGGGTTGAGATTGGAAGTTGGTGTCCGAGTGGATCGAAATCACGATAACTCAAGTGGTAGAGCACCGGCGTATTTAGCCAAAGGTCTTGGTTTCGAATCCCGCTCGTGACACTGACTTTTTCCCTCACTGATTGCCTTACTTAAATATTAATTAAATGAAAAGAATTTATTTGGTCAATCGGACCACGAAACCTAATCGATCTAAAAGTTTAGTTTCCAACCAGTTCTCCACTACTACCTACATAGGTCTATTTTGGAAAAATATATGTAGACTTGTAGATAGAATTTCATATGCTTTTTTCAGAGACTTATAAATCTATCAATCTTTCCTATTATATACTGGTTTTGACCATTTCTTTAGTTTTTCATTCTCAAGTCATTTCTTCAGCTCCAACTAAAGGACACTCCCAGTGTACCGAGATCAGGTCCCGTGGGTAAAAATGCTGCTCCTTCTCACATCATCTCTTGGAACCAACCTCTATTTAAATTTTGAGATAAAATAATACGCTTTTATTGCTTTTTAGTGATCTGACAACCCAAAAGTATGTAGATTTGTGATCTTTTCATTTGCGTAAAGTTTCTAGTTATACATCAAAGAAGCTTCTCTGTTCATACAGTGATAGTACACAATCAGGAAAAAATATAGCACTGAATACAAAGGCTACGAAAAATCTAGTATGAACTAGAAACCTTCCCGTTTCCAATTGTTTTATGTATTCGTACCCAAAATACTTACAAATGGGTTTTTTAAATAAAAAGAAGTCATCTCAATAAAGTAAAGTTCTTCTAAGTCATATAGGAGGGCTTAACATACAACTCAAGTCAAAACGCATTAAAAAAATTTACATTCTCATGTAAATACATTTCCGTTATTACTGGAAATTCCATGAACTATGTCGGGATCCGAGCCAGAACCGCGAGCTAAAAAAATTAACGAAATAAGGGCCTAATAATAAAATAGGCGGGAATAAGCACTAAATGAATAAATTGGATAAATAAAGTCGCACGAAAACACTCTTTAAATATAAAAGAAGAAATGGGAATATGAAATTATGAACTATGCTGAAAAGAATATGGTTTAAAAAAGAAATATTTATTCGTAAAATAGAAAATTGTATTAAGTTTATGTTAACGATTAGTTTAAAATTGAAAAACAAAATCAACTAAATTAAATTACGAATGTGATTTTTTCATATTATTCCTAACAAAGTTTGGTTAATATGAGGTCCTTGGTTTTCCTTAGCGTCTACTATGCTTGGCAGAAATCCATAGATTTTTTTCAATTGTACATTGTATAGAAATTTTAGCTACAAAATTTCGGCTTTAGGCTAGTATGTTGTGAACACGGAAATCTGTTCGACTTTAGGAGTTATCCCATTAGATTTATTTACCATCCCAAAGGTAAACAGGACATAGGTTATATAAAGAGCAGGAGAAACATCAATCAGTTCCCTGTAAACAACAACTCTGAAAATGTGTTTCAGTATATCAAGGCTGATAAGAAATTACTGCTGTTAGAGGAATTTCAGTAAAAGACTTTTACTAAATATAGAATTTCTTTAGGAAACAGTACAACAAGGATATTTCTATAAGCGTATTATTTTATGTGTAAATACAACTGGTTGGGAATAAAAAATATTGACTACTGTTGTATGAACAATTTAGTTTAAAAAAAAATATTTTAGTCATTCCTCCATTCGAACAATGACAAAAGCAATAACGTAATTATTATTTATATTTGTCTTTTGTATTCTATAAAAACTTTAACATAAGAACTCTAAAAATTACTCAAGACGAATCCAAATAATTTTTCTATTTTTTACCAAAAAATTTTTTGCCCTAATTTACCGGCAGCGTCTTTTCGGTTTATAACAATTTTCAATGTCTAATTTCAATTTTAACCATCCTTTATATCGGTCACTTAAAACGTTATAAATTCTAAATGTTGTTGACATGGAATGAAAGAAAATTTATTTAGCTTTCCAACTACTGTATTCACTTAAACTGATTTATAATTTTTTTCGGAAAGTGTGGTTGAGGTGAAAAATTAGTGTTCTCCCTCCTAAAATAATAATGGATGATAGAGGGAATGATGGAACTAACATACATTTTTAAATATATTTGATTTCTAATAAAACTTAGGTAATTTCATAAAAAAAAGAATGTATTTTTTACAACGATGATAAAGTACGGAGTTAGTATGGTATTTTAATAAAATTTGTCACCGGTTTTTTTCATAATCCATTATTTTTATTTTTAATACAATTTTGATCTAAACATTTGTTTAATTAACCTTCAAGGTTATTTTACCTCAACTCAATTTTCCAAATTGCCTAACGACCCGTCGTAAAAGAAACAGTTATTTCAATTCGACGTTTTTCTCTTAATAAACACCAATGGTAAATAAAACTTCAATTATTTCAAATTGATCCGTGACTTTCGATAAATAAATTGCCCATTTGACACGGTTATTAGCCTCATTCATAGCTCTAAAGAAACATAACTCTCCGGGCTAGGGATGGAATTACAATATCTTCAACAAAGGCTTAATTTATCGTTGTTCACGGTGATAATGATAGTGATGCTGGAAGGAAGTGATGGTATTTGTTCCGCAAACACTGAAGCCTTCTGTCTTAGTGTACTTTCCTAAGTCCTTAGGTAGGTACAATCGACTCCGACGATACTTGTCGTAAGATCTACTAGGTCATTGATTGTAGTTTCCCTGGGTTTCCTTTGTATCCCCGGTTATATATCAATGATCAGTTTCTTCGTAAGCGAAGATGTTATGAGTGGGTGTTTCTTCCTCCTTATTGCATAGCCTACAAACAGGGTGGGTCATTATGGAAAATATGTGGTGATTAGTGACCATTAGTCGATAATTATTCAGAAGTCGTGAGATGCGGTCTGGTGTGATGTAGGTTTTAGAAAAACATTTTCTTTATCGTGCCAACGTTTCGATCTTTATTGAGATCATCTTTAGGGCCTTGTGTGTTGTCTGCATTTCAAAAAAAAAAAAAAAAATCAACTAGAGAATTTTTTGAGTTTGAATCCATTTTGTGAGATTTGTTTTTGTTATCCGAAGAATAGGTTCAGCCTATACATGGTCTTCCAAATCTTCTTCTTGCTACCAAGATATCATCAGGTTGTTGTGTTTCCCCAGAATTTGAATATCTTGATTGCATTGATTTATTAATTTTGATGTGACATTTGTACATGGTAATGCTTTAATAGTTGCTTGGCTATTCGATCTTATAAGGATTTTTTGTTTATTTACGATTTATTTTTTGTCTTTTACGATTTTCGCAGTCACGATATCCACTTGCCGGTGACCTCGATGCCTCATTGTCACAATAATATTGCAAACTTCTGGCTCAATATGATATCTTTGCATGGTTGAAAAGAATACATCTGGATTAAAATGGAGAAAAAACAAGAAAGTTGTTTGTTTACATAATGAGTAATCTTTACTATTCTGAAGTAATTCTATTATTGCAAATGAGGGGAAATCTTTTTCTGTTTGTATTTTCTATTTTGTGTTATCCACGTGACAAGAATATATCGGTTAATTTAATTAAAATTAATAAAATTAAAATAAATTACAAATATCCCTATTTTTACGAAGGTTCGCAACAGCAGAGGTCATATCAACCCTCACTCAGGGTGTCGGTGTTTTTGAAAAAAAGCCCATTTGTGAGGACCTTTACCTTACAGTGATGGGGGCCGTGCCAACGACTAAACCGTTGCGGCCACTGATACCCCCTTACAAATATCCCTATTCATTTTCGAGCATTTTACAATAAAAGTAGGTTTCTAGTACAATTGACGGAGTTATTTTCATTGGACTGTGATACATGGATTTGTCAGTATTTGTAGGGGACCTAATATTTGGATAGCTTGTTTCTGCTGATCTTTGGTCCAGCAGTTTAGTGAGCCATAAGATAATTCGTGTCGTCTAGAAAATAGTACATAGTGATTATTTTAAATACTTTATTTATATCCAATATTATATATTATCTAAAATATAATCCAATTAGTAAAATATATTTAGCAAATCGGATAATTCAATATTTCATTGGAAACAATTATGTGCTTAAATTTGAAGGTTTGTGTTGGCCTGTGTAGTTTTTGTAAAACATGCGAGATGTTTTGTTTTGATGTTTTAATGTTTTAGATCCAACATACAAATGGTGTTTAATTTTTGTCCAATAATTAAAATCTTAAATGTTTCTTATATGTAGATGCCCTAGGAGCTATTTGGACCTCTTTACATGCCCTGAGAAACTTTCCCTTGTTTGGTTTAATTTTGTCAACGATAATTATTCTTTTTTTTTTATACGTGTGTGCTTTAGATACTGCCGTGCTTCAGCGCGTCAAGCCAAGGCTCGGGCCGTCTCGGAAATTGGAGGAGCGAAAGAACCTGCAATGGGAACGAAACGTGCCAAGAGACACTTCTCCCAACGTCTGTCGTTCTGCCCAGTTCGAAACCATCGCCGCCGTTGGTACATATCAATGTGAGTATTAACAAAAAAACGGTTTAAATTTACAAAAAAGTGGTAAAAAACACGAGATGTAAATAATAGAACTTTCTTGGGACCCATCGTAAAGGAGACGGTTGGTAAAAAACAAAAATAATGAAGTCCTTGTCTTTTCCTCTTTTTTCTCTCCCTTTCCGTAGGATTGAAGTGAAGAGTGGAAAAGTCAAGACTTCTCTGCATCCTTAATGGATGTGACTTCTAACGCTAAACTCCAGGCTTTCACAAAAACAATTTTTCTTCCGGGTTAAAACATTCCTAAAAAACAGGTTAAAATGTAATTTAAATATTTTAGAAGTAATTATACACGACAAACATATATGAATGTGAAAGTAGTAATAATTGTAATAATAATTCAATTATTTAACATAAAACTACAATAAATTTATACCTGAATTGGAAAAACTTATTGTTTAAAACATTACCAATTGGAAACCTAAAATGTTGGAAGTTTGTGCCGTTCATGCTTAAAAGCGATTTCACCTGGAGTATGACAAAATTATACTCTAACCGTTTTTTCCCCACACTTTACTTGTTGGTATGGCTTCGTCCTTGTGTATCGAATAATGTATACTTAACCGTTGTGTATTTATTTATTAACATAACCCTGCTAACATAGATAAATTATATAAATTAATGTATAAATAGTAATAAAGTAATATAATATATTAGTAGTAAGTCGTTAATTTCATTTAGTTAGTATTTCAATCGTTGGAAAACTTTAAACACTCCCTTTTTTTTAAAAATTTTATAGACTAAACAAGAAATAAAAGTCCCCTCAAAGTTCATTGAACAGGTGCTGTAATAATGAGAGTACACTTTCATACGATAGCGCCCTTACAGAGGATCTCTTGTATGGTATACCATGGTTTATTTTCCATTAAAGCGTTATGTTTGCTGTCGCCGGCCTTTCTGAGTGTTCTTCTTTTCATTCGAAAGAAAAATTTCCCGTTTAAACTTAACAAACAACTTAAAAAAACAAACAAAAAACAGGCGTTGTCAACAAACATTTTTCGATAACGCGTAATATGATAAAGACCACAAAGCATCTAAGAGAAAAGCGTTTTTTCGTTTCTGAAATCAATTTTATGTTTTATTTAATCTTTATGTAACGTATTGGTTGAGATAAAAAAGTCAGTGTCGCGAGCGGGATTCGAACCCACGATCGTCGGCTAAATACGCCGCTGCTCTACAACTTGACCCATGACTTTGATCCACGCGGACACTAACTTCCTATTTCAACCCCCCTTTCGAATTTTCCCTCCTTTTTTTCATTTTTCAAATGTCGTGTAATCAGGATTCGTTTCTCGGTGACAAATCAAATGGCCACGGAGAGCTTAAATGAAGATATACTTAATTTTACTTATTAAATCCATTATGTTTCGTGGTCCGATTGTCCAAATAACTTCTTTCAATTAATTTCTCAACCAATACCTTACATTAATTGAAAGAAGTTATTTGGTCAATCGAACCCGGAAATCTAATAGATTTATGTTTTATGATTAATCATAATTTTGTCATTAATGGTTGATAAGAAATATAGCGACTGAGCTAGTAATTTTGGTACAAATTAATAATAGTCAGCATAGGTCATGAATCATAAAAACAAATATGTGTTGTTATTGTTACCTAATATTTTCCTTTATATAGTATAAATTTTTTACTCATTGGAACTATTAAACCACAAAGACATAATCACCATGTATCCCTGATTTAGTCCTGCCGTTGTAGAACTTATACACTGCCCATCACAAAAAAACGACCACCTGGTTTTTTGCACGAAAAAATGCTCAAATTTGGAAAATCATATTTTCTCAGCATTTTAAGTCAAAGACCTAGGTCTCATTTTTTAGAAAAATGTACTCTGATAAAGATGAGCTTTTTAAAATGTTTTCCTACCTTCAGTCATTCATGATTGAATTCAAAAATTCGGGAACATGTTAATTTTTGCACTTTTTACCAAAACGTCAAATTGAGCTGTGGAGCCAGGATAAAGTCCTATCCCTATAAGAACTGATAGGAAATTTTGATAAGCTTTCGATCCGTCACCTTCCATTTTGCTCGATTTCTCAACTGTTTTCGAGTTATACGCGATTTTTGGGGAAAAAACTTGATTTTTTTACGTGCTCATGGAAAAAGCCGATCACTCTCTTTTCTAATTTTACCGTGCATAAACCTATCCTAACCTTGGGAAGGAAAATTTGAATTGAGGTATTGATATCATGTAATTGAGTCGTTATCGATATCAGAAGCACTCTGCATCCCAAATGGTCAAAGAAAGAATAAGGTAGGAATTCTCGCTTCCCTGTTGGCTTTTTTGAGAAACTTCTCGGACACAAGTTGTATAGCGTAAATTTTGCGAAAATATTACGGTTCAAAATTTATGTATTCTTGAAAATCGGAAGTGAGAGTAATTGGTTTTTCCATGAGCGCGTAAAAAACATGTTTTTTAACCAAAAATCGCGTATAACCCGAAAACGATAGAGAAATATGGAAAAATGGAAGGTGTCGAATCGATAGCTTATTAAAATTGCCTATCCATTCCTATAGAGCGCGCTCCAAGACAATATCCTGGTTCCCTGCTTAATTTGACGTTTTGGCAAAAAGTGCAAAAATTAACGTGTTTCCGAATGTTTGAATTTACTGATAAATGCCTGAAACTAGGAAAACATTTAAAAAGCCATGTTGTTCAGCTTAAAAGTTTCTAAAAATGAGGCCCTGCGCAGATTTGTGTCTTAAAAGACTGAGAAAATATGCAAATCCAAAATTGTCACACAAAATCAGGTGGTCGAATTTCTTTATGGGCTGGGTAGACGCCATCAATTACTGGATTTTTTGACATATTAACTCCAATCTTCATGATACTTGCAGGATTTATCCTTTCTCTGAAGTTTATTGTCTAATTCATCTAGGTCCACTCTCTTGTTTTTGTATTAATTGATTTTTGAAGTTGAATGAATATCATTTTCTGTTCTCCCTTTGAAGCCAATTGGCAGAATGTTCGCTGGGTACAGCCTGACTCGAACGTTTTGGTTCAGCTTTATCATGTTTTTGGTGATGTGCTGTTGACATATTCGTGCCATATGTGTGATGCTTATGTCATTGTTGGAATTTTTAGCCGTTCGTAGCTGTATTATTCTGTATTGTAGTTGTATAGCTTTCAAGGCTTGTTGAGCAAACCTCCTGAGAACTTTGGCGTGCTTTGATGGAAATTGAATTATCCAGAGTGTTTTGTTGGAAACTATTGTTATAGGGAAGCCTACGTACACTTTTTGGTAAAATTTCACTAGGTATTTCATTTATTTAAGATTCTTTTAATTCCCCCCCCCCAAGAGTGATTAGTTGTGGTATATTTGCCTTTTTTGAAAATTAACTTATACCCATTTGCCAGCTGCTTAAGCAATTAAGAGCCATTTTCACATTTATTGATACATCCCGTTGCAAGGTACTTCTTATAAGAAGAAGGGAGACGTCTGCAAATTGTCACAGTTGCCTATTCTTAATATGTTACTTTTTATTTTTAGTCATTCATGCCTTGTATTAGATGCGTATGTCATTATGTGTACAAAAGCAAGACCCCCGTGTACTTGAACATGCATTGATGGTACTTGAATTATCTTGAGAACTTTGTAGGAAACGTTTCTTATATCGGAAATCTTTTTAAATATTTTGTGAAAGTTACTCCTATTTATTTCATATCTTTAACATTTATTAACTTTTCACCCTCTAAACAAGCCATGCGACACGATCACAATTTTAGGAGATATCAAGACGGATCAGATAGCCTTGGTTGAGGACCTTTCATCGATATTTATTTTTCATAATTGCTGGACTTGGACTTAATTTTCGCTTTTCTCTCAATAAAATAATTTTTTAAGGAGGGTGAAAAGATTCGAAAGACAATCCTAACGAATAACATCATTTTAATATTACATACGTAAACATCGTTTAAAACGAATTTTGTTGAATTTTTTTTCCAATTTAAATTCAAAATCATGGGGTGTACTGTTTATTTTTATATAGTTTATTTATACAGGAAAAGCAAACTCAGGATTTTTAATTGAATTATTTAATTTGTATAATGAAATAATTTGAAGGTTGGGATGATCGGACAGTTAGATGTGGAAAATAAAACAAAATAAAAACTACGTTTTCAAGTAGGCCGAAGTTTCGTCAGGTTTATTGGCCTACTCAAAGAGGTCGAAGGGCGGAAAGTACAGATTCTATTGAATTAAATTTGATTTGAAAATGGGATGAAATTTAACTTCGTTGACGCATACATGTAAAAGAGAAAATATTTGTACCTACGTGATAATCTAATAACTATTGTATAATTGAAACCAAAGAATCATAAACCATTTTCAGTAAAAAGAGTTTTCGTCAATGTGGTCGCTCAAAAGAATTCACATATTAATAAAAGCCAATAAATAAACATTATAACAATAAAAACTACACTAATTTATAATTTAAAAAATAAGACCAAGGAGGGAAGGCGCAAAAGCAATATCAAAGAAAGAAAATAAATATTTTGTTAAAAAAATAGATGGGAGTACAATTTTTGTAGAAACCACTACATAAAAGTAATCCAGCTCGCAAAACAAAGTAACGATATATAAAATTATGTTTAATTTATCAACTTTTTTGAATATTGAGAAAAAGCCAATTTTCTTCGCAAACCCCATTATCATTTGTGCTTTGGTATGGACAGGGATATGCATCGAGGAACCCTCTGTTCCGTATAGGTTCAGTAAACCGGAAAGTACATTATCACCCCCATGTTTTTCAGCCCCCTCTTCGCCATCCTTATTTTCCTTTTATATATCGGAATATCGATTGCCTTCACGCAGTATAACTTATTCCCCTGGGACAGATATAATTCCTTTTGGAAAATCAGCTATCAATATAAACGGAAGCCGTTCCACTATTTCGGAAAGGATACGCCGTCGGAAAATAAATCAGCCGAAGGCGTTATTTGGCGA